TTAAAATAATATATTGTGTTAAAATTATTTGGGTTTATTAAGCTTTTTTTGCAGAGTAGTGTTCAAAAGAGAGGAGGAAATTTTTTTCCTCACCAGTATCCCTAAAAGCCTCTTTACATCTCCATCTCTCTCTCTTATTTCCTCAGAGTTATGTTTTGTGTTTTAAATTATTAGTTCCTTCCTTGGAATCCCTAAAAACCTCTAGTGTGCTTTATATATTCAGGTAGAACAGCCTTGGAAGAAAGAGGCATGTCAAATGCCTTATTTTTTACTTTAAACTGTACAAAACAGTCCGAGTAATCTAGGTAATATTTCAGTCCATGTCAGAAATACATACCTGATTATAACAGAGTTTCTTTGCCAAATATGAAAATACTTGCTCCATCGGTCTTAGAAGGAAGTTACTCAAACGTTTTTGAAACCCGTATCATTTATTCTCAATTAAAAAAATTAAGGAAAAAACATTTAAACGCTTCTTGTGTTGGTTAGCATCAAACAGCAGATTTTCAGGCCTCATGGGAAGTAAATACAAGAACTGGGATGCAACGGAAATGTGGTCTCTCATCCATCCTTCTGTGTAATCATTAAACTTACTTAGAGCAGAACATTTTTAACAATGTTTGCAGAACAATGTTGAATTCTCTCCCAGACTTAACTCTGGCAAACTGGGAGAAGTAAGGAGAGAAAATTGAAGAAGAAGAGAAGCTCAGTCTGGTTTTCATTTTCTCTACAGCTGTCATCTGGCTTTGAATTCTGCTGGAGAGCTACAGCTGGAGTCATTTTATTGCTTTACCCAGCATCCTTTTGCCTTGCGCGCACAGAAATGTTTTAGTAGTCTTGGAAAAAAATTCAGAGTATCTCTTAGCAACCATAGGACAGTAATTATTATACCAGCAGCTGGGAGCAAACCAGATTTCCGTTGTGCATTAAAAACTGGCGTAGGTTACTTTACAGATGATACTGAATAACCTATGCCAGTACTGTACTTTGCAGGCTGTGGTTAAAGGATATTGAACGTGGGCGGTGTAATTGCTTTGGACAGTAGAAAAGGGGAATGTGTGCATCTGTGTTTGTGTGTAATATTCAGTATATTTAATATACCAAGCTTAGTTCTTGTGGAAAACTTTACATGTTTGCTTTTTACTTAAATGCATTTTCAGTACAATAGCATTTTTGTTTCTAGGGCCTCTCCCTTCAGGTTGACAGTGTTTCCATTATAAATGTAGGTTTTCAGGTGTTTATGACCTTGTCATAAAACATCACATTGGAGGAGGAAGTGTCATCCAAAGAAGGCCTTTTTGATAGTAATAAACATGGTTTGGCTGTATCTAAACTATCGGTTTAATTAAAAATACAGAGTTCAGGATATTCATCTGGCATTTCTGTAGTTCTGCAGAGTGAATATTTATAGGCTAAATAAGGTCATAACTGACCTGATCGCTTTTCATTTTTCATAAATACCAGAAGTTAGGCTGTGTCTGCTTACCTGTAGTGTCTAGGTTGGTAGGCTGAGCGTTGTGCTTTCCAAACAGCTGTCTCATGAGTTCTTGCCTTACAAAGGTCAGATGCCTTTGTCTCCTGCCGCCCCCAAATTCGTCCTTCAAGTCAGTTAGCTTGAATTGCAGTGTCTGTGTTGGGATTTTATAAAAGCATTCCTTTATAATTGCTGCATGTAGGGCACAAAGGCTTTGCTTTAAGATTAAGGTTTGTATGTCATACATCAGCATCTGGCAGTGCTAGTTAGCACTGGCATAGGTGATCAGTGCCTATAGCCTTTATTAGATGGAGCCCTTCTTGGCCGCTGAGGGGAGCGTGTGTGTCTGTGTGAGCATGTGCAGGTGTCCTCCTTGCTCTATAGTGTAGGTAGTTTATTTCTGAAGAAAAAAGGTGTGAATCACCTGCAGGGACAGGAAATAATGCAGGCTGTTGCAAATCTCCCCCAGGGATAAAGACTGGCTTGCGGGTAGTACGTGTTTTTTTCCCTGGGAAGGAAGGCGTAGTAGTCTTTGCAGCTCTCATCCTTCTCCCTAGACCACTCAAACTGATAATAGCTGGGGGGGTAAGGGGGTTGGGTAGTGCTTATCACTGTGGTTTCTGTAAAAGCGCTTCTAGCTGTTAAGTGTGTTCCTAGCTTAAATAGTTTCTGCTTGTAAGCATTTATAACATTGCTCAAACCAAAAATAGTTGTAGGCATTTCTTCCTCATTCTGAATGCAGCTCTCCTGTGGTTTGAACCACGGTTTTGGAAGCTTTTTATGTCATTGGGCAATGTACCTGCAGGAGAACCTCCTGCTAGGAAGATGTTTGATATTGCGCTAATATTTGATGCTTTTTGCTCTTAAAATAAGTATACATCCATGAAATCTAACTCTTGCCAGTCATTTCAACATACCTTTTGTACTCCTTTCCCAACAGTGTTTGACCAGAAAATTTAATTTTGTCAATTGCTTAGTGGTGTTGTCATGCTCAAATAGCTGCAAAAAATACTTCTTTCTGGAGTTTTGCCTGTCTTCAGTATTTTTCAGTGAAACTTTAACCTGACTGAGCTGTTGTCTTTCATGGGGTGTATGCTCTCTAGTATTAATTATAGCTGATCATTCGTTAATTACTAATTTTAAAGTTTTTCCACTCAGAGTGCTTCTGAACAATATATAAATTCTTAGTGATGTGATGATTTTCTTTCTCCTAAAAATCAGCTACAGAACAGCTACTTCCACTTTATCTAGATGTCTTAGAGCTTGATACATTAGGCTTTTTTGTACATGAGGTGCTAATGTAATCCTAGAACAAGTTCCTTAAGTAATTTGATAAATGAAAACTAATGATTCAGTGTTAGTGCTTAACCTGCCAAAACTTCAGGTTTTCCTCTGCGCTTAGTTTTCTGGAGTATTTTTATCATTTCCCCCTTAAAGTTTTCTTGATATATACAAATCCTTATGATAAAGCTGAAACATTCTCATTGCTGGAAGCTGGATGATGCCAGAATTTTCTCAGTGCTATCAGATGATGACAGCCAGTTAACTTTACAGCATCTCTCAATAAAAACAAAACAATGTACAGTACATTTTTTGGCAGCCCAGTGGGTTTTGTATCAATATGCTCTACTGTATCCGAGGTATATTCCAGTCAGTTAAGCTTAAAGAATGAGAACTGTTGGTTTTTCTATTCTTTTCAGAAATTGGATCATCTCACAAGGCAATATTCCACCCAGACATACTTCTTCCTTACTCTGAGCGGCACAGGATCTGTAGATGTCTCATTATATGTTGCCACATGGTCTCATTTTTGTATCAAATTGCCTGACATAACCTTAATTTCAAAAAGACAGTCATTAGTTGTTTAATACACACTTGCTGTAATTAGATATTTTAATTGAGCCAGTGTATGTTAAAACTGACTTTCTGTTCCTTTCCAGCTGATCTTGCTTTTAATTTATTAAAAGGTCTGACTAGCTTTTGCCTTATTAGTCTCAGAAATGTTTTCCTCCAATTGGATATTTGTAAATACTGGCAGCCTCGTGGGTAGTTAGAGAAACCATAATCTCAGAGACTGGGCTAATCTCTCCTTCCTTAAAGAAGTTCCTCAGTCTGATTTGGCAATTTACCAAGGCATGTATCTCTAATGCCCAAGTTGTGTACACTCTGCAGAGAAGGAACTCTTATTTTCCAAGCCTAACTTACAGTAAAGAAAACACTTGCCTACTTATAAGTACTTTAAAAACGTGTATTTGAAAATACTTGTGTTTATAGATGCCTCTAACACGTTATGTAGAATATTAATGCATTTATGTGTGAACTTGGTGGTTTTGGTGTGGTTTTTGTATAAATGCAGAATAATTTCAAGGGAGTTCTTATATATTCTAGACTACTCAAGAAAATACATCAGGTTCATTAATGAAAGATCACCTTTTCCAACACGAAACTGTAGTAACCAGTGAACCTTACAACAGTGCAAATTTAAGGCCTTCAGCATTTGAGGATTTCGACTCCAGGAGAGCCTGTTTTCCTAGCCAACCTAACCAGGTAAGACTACCAACAAAAGAAGCGGTTCTTACTTTGCTTGCTGCATTAATGGCACAGTATGTAGTTTCTGACAAGAAATCACTTTCTAAGTCCCTGTATATAGTATTGTACTCTCAACTTCTTGAAACGATCAATATAAGCTTTGCAGCTGAAATACTACAGCATTATTATGGCAGAGGTAAAGCTTTAATGGAGGTATTTGCCTATGCTTGCAGTGCAGCAGACTACATGAATAAATCTTTCACTTTCTTTGAAGTCAGATTTCTGTATTACAGACTTCTGTTTCTGCAGCCTTGAAAAGCTGTTTAAATTTGTTCAGAAAATATTAATTGACCATGAGCTTAATCTCAGTTACATGTATACTAACACTGTTTTGATTAAAAATACTGAAAAGTATCTTTAAAATTGGTATCTTGGATGCATTACACAGTGGGGCACTTTTGCTAAATATTTTTAGTGAAACATTGTTCATGCTTTCTAACCGCCTATTTAAACTAAAATACTCTATTTTGGTACAGAAAGGAAAACATTGTATCAGTTATGCATGAAAACTATTAAGCTATTGGTAAACAGATTCTTAAAACAAAGAAAAAAACTCCACTAACATGAGGAAGGCCGATGTACAGACATTTTTTAAAAGAGGTCATATTTGTACAACGTTACATTGGAAAAGCAATGTTGCAGCTTTTCCTTTAACAATATACATTCTGCTTTTTTCTAAGCCTCAAAGAACTGACAGTTTTTGTAGACTGTAGAAGTAGACTTAATAGTGAGTTGGATAATAATTAATTTGAGGGTCTTATGCCTAGAAGCAAACACATGGGAAGCTTTTTAGAATAAGCTTAATAACAGAAGTCAAAGCAAAATGCAGGTTCAAGTAGTTGTGAACACTTCATCAGAAAATATTTCTGTTCCTTGAAATAAAGCTTTTTAATACCCTCGGTCATTCTTGCAAAGAAAGATAGGATTGTATTAAAGTCTTGTATCAGCTGCTTTCTAACTGCTTTATTGGGCAAAAGAAGCAAACAGTGTTACCTGGAGAACTAACTAAAGAGCTTGAAATTATAAACTTCTGATTTTTAATAATTGATCTGCTCCAATTATCTCTTTGTATAAGTCACCTCATTTTTGTTTGTTCTGTTCATTAAGAGGTACATATTTTTCCTACTTCCCATTTACTTGCAAAGAGAATTTTAAAATTTCTTAGAATAGAATAGATGGGTGATTAGGTTATTGCAGCTAACACATAACAGCTACAGTAACCGGTAATATATGTGCTGTTAGTCTCCACTGAGTTATAAAGAAAACTGCAGTAGCCTAAAATACCTGTATGTTTTAAGAGCACACATAGAACTGGCTACTGAGAAAATGATAATTTAAGGTGTGGTATGCTTGGTAGTGCCTGTCTGATAGAAATGAAATAGGAATTTCTCGGAGATGACTGCTAGAATTCACTTCTTGTAGACTGAAGTTATGGGAGATTCCATGGAAATTTAAGTAGATGTTGTTTAAAATATTTTTCTCATATTGTAGCACCACCTGCATCCGACACTCCATGCTTTTTGCATGGCCCTGTGGTGCACACATTTAGAACATAGGCAAGTCAACAAAATCTCACATTCAGTATGTGCACACACTCTCTGCTGAACTCCATGCATGTGACCGTGTGGCACAGCAGATCTTGAGGTAAATACCTATTTTGTTTCAATTTTGTATAAGTAAGTTTGCACTCTTACTGTGCTTGTAAGTCGAATAGCTCAAGGAGTACATGCTCAGACTAAAGAAGTGATTAATGACAGTTCAGATCTTTACCTGTAATACTTTGACTGTTACTAAAAAATACCCAAGTCCCTCAGCTCTTCAGCTTCTGACACACTGATATGTGTTTAACTTAAATTTTGCGATGATACATTCAGCTGCTGGTGTCCTCATTTTGTGGAGTTGCAAGCTGGGCAAAGTCAGGTATATCTGTTTGAGGAGAGGCAATGAAGGCTACTAGTACCAAGCAAGTGTCCGTGCTTTGTTTAAAGGTCCACCCCTTTAAGTAAGGAGTAATACTAGTGAGTTTGGTCAGGTGAACAAAAATTTTCTGCCTAATTCCCAGTTGGCTAATTATGTTCATAATGAGATTCTCTGTGGGACTTCAGTTTGCTGTAATATTCTTCCTCCCTTCCTGCTTCAGCTGTTACACAGAGATGGCACTTGTACTGAGTTATAGTTTTGAATGGCTAGAGGACTACATACATTATTCTCACTGAATTTTGCTGGTATTTGTACCTAACTGAATCTGGATTGTGTATTGTTCTTAAGGTTTCATGTACATCATGCTTTCCTATAGGTCCCATTAAACAGCCAATATGTAAGCACTTTATATAAAGCTTTTCCAGCATTTCTCCTGTCTGCTTGTTTTTCAGCATTTCCCATTTGCTTTCTTAAAAAATGATTTCATAATATCAGTTGCATAAAGAACGCAATGCTGCCTTGTTTGTAACATGTCAGACCTTAAGCATTTTAGTAGGTGTTTGGCTGGGGACTTGGAAAAAAAGAAATGAGTTCTATGTACGTGGTGTGTTCTGCTCAAATAAAAAGCCTTTAAAGACTGAGGAGAGGTCAGATTTTATAGTTGTTAGTATTTGTAGTGATCTTTAATGGCTATTAGCTGTCTGGGGAATGGGAGGTTGAGGGTGGGTTTTTTGGTTTGAGGCTTTGGGTTTTTTTCTTTTAAACAATGGGTTTTATTTAATGCCTTAAATGCATGCGTAATATTCTGTGTAGCTAGTGGAGTAAGGAACCTTTATGCTTGTAATATACAAAATTGTAATGACATTTTTGATACTTTTTCCCATCAATTAATTTATGTTGTTCACTGTTCAAAAAAAGCCAATTATCCATAGCTAGTCATTGATGCTAAAACAATAGGCTCTTTCTCTTGTTTGGAAACAGACTAGAGTTGAGAAGCACTCTGCTTTTATAAGCAAAGGGGAGGCCTAACTGCTTGCATCGGAGCCTGGGGAAGTATGGAAGAGCAGTGATGTTAGCTGAATAGGATATAACCTTTCTTCACCCTGTATCCTTGAGACCTTGTGGAAGTCCAACTACGTGGCTTGGAGCCAAGAAAAAAAATTATTCTTGTTAGCATACTCCAGTTGAAACTCACAGGGCAAAGCAGCTCCAATTACAGTTCTGTACTTAAAATATATCACACAAGGATTATCAAGCAGCAAAGTGATGGTTAGAGCAGGCTACAGATATTCTTACATAATCAGAAGTTGGCATATTTTAAGCAGCTACTCCTTCCTCTTTCCCAGCTGCCTTCCCTCTTCCCTCCTCTGCCTCCTACCCCAAAACCAGGGCGTGCAGACTTCAGTGTAGTAGGAGCATAGACACATGCAAAGTGAAATAGAAGTGTGTTAACTTAAAACATCATCTTCAATAGTTTGTTGTTACACACTGCAACAGATTAGGAACATGCAGTTCTCCTAGACTATGGAATGGTGACACATTAATTCTCATTAATATGATCCATACTAATAACGTAAACACTCTAAAAGCAACGGTACTGATGTCAAAGATGCATTCCCAAATAATTCATGATTCTGGAAGAATTTGTAAGGCTAATGGGTTAGAGAGTAATTCGCCGCCCCCCCCCCGCCCCCCAGTCTTTTCTGTGAGTTGGTTTGTAGGCTGTGCACTTGACAGGAGAAAAAGGCGGAATTTGACTTGAAGCTCACTTATATTCTGGCTGCGATATAATAGCCCTACAGTGTAGGAAAATAATTGCCTGTCTGTAAGGCAGGAATACTGGGACATACTGAGACTTCTGCTTTTTTGCTGCACTATCTGCTATTTTCAGGAGCTCTTTCCATGCACATGTGCTAAATTTTTATCCTGTCATTATTTGCACCTTTTATTGAAAGTCACTTGCAATGTGATTTCAGTAACATTTAGCGGCAGTCCACTGCCTTACACTTAGATATAAGGTCTGCACTATTTCAGTTCAGATGATTGAAATTTGCCATCTTCAACAACTTTTTCATGCCCCCATGCCCTTTCTCTTACTTGCCTTTTGAGGTAAAAGGTCTTGAGTTATGGTCAGTTCATTACAAGTTGAGAATTTTAAAAGTACTTAGGTACTGCATGCCGGTGTCCTAAACTAATCAATTGAAGTGCTCTATATTAGCTAAGGGGAGATGCATTTAGAAGTCACTGTTATTGACTGATCGTGCTACTGAATATTGTTCTTCATATGGCAAAATCCTTATCTAGAATACAGCTTTGAGAATAAGTAACCAGTATTCAATATTCTTGTTGCAAAAGTGGAGGGAGTTTGAAAACTTGGAGCAGGAAGAAAGGAGAGCTTCTCCTAGGTAACACGAGTAACTCAAAGTGAATGAATCGGGGAGTTAATCCTAAAGCAGTGGATCATCACTGACATGAAGTCAGCAAATTCACATAAGGCATAATTGACCTGTGGAATTAGTTGCCACTGTAAGATGTTAAAATCTGAATTTTGAGCATAATTCAAAGAACAGTATCAAGTTGTATGCAGATACCAAAATATCTGAAGCTCTTATGAGATACTAAAAAGTCAGGAAAGGATACTAAAGCTTGTGGTCCTAGTATCACAGAAAAGGCTCATTATTGTGGGCAAGTCTATAAATTGTACTAGTAAGAAAGTAAGCTGAATTTTTTACCTTCAAGCAGCAAGGAACAAAATCATGGGTTTTTTTTATTTTCTAATCTAAGTTTTAGATTGTAGGTGGACATAAATTTGGGACTTCACTATAGTAAACTTATCTTGCTTTGCGATTTCAGGTCCCACTGAAGTCAATCAGGCACGTTAGTTTTCAGGATGAAGATGAAATTGTTAGAATAAACCCTCGTGACATTTTGATACGTCGTTATGCAGACTACAGGCATCCTGACATGTGGAAGAACGACCTGGAGAGGGATGACGCAGACTCAAATATACCATTTTCTAAATCAGACAGTAAAAAATCTGACTATTTATACCCGTGTGGGGATGGAACTAAGCTGAATTCCCTGAAAGACTCAAAGAGTTCTGTGGTATTTAAAACTCAGCCTTCCTCATCAAAATTTAAAAACTCAAAAAGAAGAAAAGAGGATGGTGAGCGTTCCCGCTGTATATACTGCCAGGAAAGGTTTAATCATGAAGATAATGGCAGAGGGAAATGTCAAGATGCGCCAGATCCTATTAAAAGATGTATCTACCAAGTTAGTTGCATGCTTTGCGCAGAGAGCATGCTGTATCACTGCATGTCAGACTCTGAAGGAGATTTCTCTGATCCTTGCTCGTGTGACACTAGTGATGACAAGTTCTGCTTACGCTGGTTAGCGCTGGTGGCACTCTCGTTCATTGCTCCATGTATGTGCTGCTACCTCCCCTTGAGAGCATGCCATCACTGTGGTGAGGTATGTGGGTGCTGTGGAGGAAAGCATAAAGCTGCGGGATGAATCAGTCTTGTGCCAAACAGAGCTGAAAAATCTTTGTTTCCAGGAAGCATCTAACTTGGATTTGTGGAAGCTTTTTGGCAAGCTGAAGGGAATCTTCTTTCATGTAAGAGATGCTTGATGTGGAGGAAGCAACAAGACTTGTCAGACCTTGGCATTTTACAAGTGCTAGCCATGCCTATTTCCTTTGAGTGCATGGCATTTGTTGCAAGTTGTGAAGGAGATTTTGCAAAGGAAAGCCTATTCTTATTATTGGCTATAAAATGAGTATATAAACTATGATTATACTAAAAGGGATTAACTTTCGCCACTTTGTACATTCATGGTTTAGGTGAGGGGGCTCTTTTAAAAGGATTAAAACTTACCTGAGGGGAAATTTTAACTAAAAGTGCACTAGTGACAGTTGATTTAAGATTAAGAAAAGTTAATACTCGGCAAATGAGAAATGAAACTGATTTTAAGTGCAACTAAATCACTTATTAATAGTTTTTTGGAAGCGACTTTATGTATAAATAACAAATGTTTATATTTAACTAAATGTGTAAGGTACGAATTATTACATGTTAAACTTTCCTTCCCTCTGATATAGTAGGTATGGACCATATCTACTGTCACATTCCATGGTAGTATTTTAAATATTTAATTAGTTAATTTAGTCGCATTTTTATTCCAGATGGACAAATTGATATTTTCAGTCCTGTTTCCCTTCAGCTACAGTTTGTGTTGAGTTGTATCCATACATTCTGATAATCTAAAAACCTTTAAAATATTAATTATTCTAGTCTTGAGTGACCAATATTTTTTTGTTAAGCACAGATGTAATTGTCTAAAATGTTCTTGTTAGAACATAACATTTATTTTTATATCTAAATTACTTTGATTTCAACATGACAGCAAAAAGGAAGTTGTTTGTTGCTCAACCAGCAAGTTGTTTTCTTTTGGGGTGTCCTCAAAAAATACTTTATTGCATATTCAAATGTTCATTAAGCAAAAGGTACATTAAAGGCAGTTGTAACAAGTTGTCATCAGTGTTCTTGTTTATCCTTCTGTTAAACTAGGATCCTGTTCAGCTGTTTATCAAGTACTATGATTAAAACAAGAGATTAATAACAAAAGTGAAATTGTTTTCATTATTTTGAACTGCAACTTTTTCTTATTTGAACGGGCAAGAACAAAAGTACTGTGTGTTTTGTTCAAAAACGACGACGACAAAAGACTTAGCTTGAGAAATAAATTACAGCCCAGGCAAAATCGGAGTGAACTTCTTAATGGAGGCTATTTGGAGGGGGGATGGGGAAGGGAGGGAGAGAGGGAGAGAGAGAGTGTGTGTGTATGCGTATGCGCGGTGGTATATTGTGTATGATATTGGTTATGGCTTTGTACTTACTAAGTGTTTAACTTTCAGATAAGAATTAACTAATTAACCTATAGAGAATTTTTTAAAACATTACATGCTTTGCTCTGTCACGAAATAAGACACACTTACTTCTGATTAAAGATACGTAAAACACTAAAACCAGTTATAATTCATTAGCGAAGGTGCCTCTGATATCCTGGCTGGAGTGGGACAGACTGTCCTCAGTATACCCTTGTTACTAAACAAACAAAAAACCTAATTGATTCTCAAAGATGCACATGACTGACTTTTCTCACTTCCTATGCATTTCTTCAGTGTATGTTGTGTAATTTTTCTTTCTGCATGTATCAGTGCCCTTAATTTTCCTTTGTGTAGCCCAGAAGTAAAATGAGTAAATGTATATAACATTATCTGTCTGTAAAATACTTTTTAAAAGAAAACATTTATATTTATATTACAGCTTGAATTGACCACCTTGTGTACATAGATCATCTCAAAGTATTATTTCACATTGAAAAGAAGACAAATATATTGATAACTGTAGAAGTTACGGAAGAGCTTCTAGTTTTGTATTAAGAGTTGATTGGATGAATTAAGTCCAAGAATACGACATGGTAGCAGCAGTCTTGGTTTTTACTGTTTATATATTTGAAAGCTGCTACTCTGGTTGATTTTCATGCTTCACACATTTTCAGCTAAACTTGGTTGCCTAGAATAGACTGTTAACTTTAAAAACAATTTTGATTAAAAAAAAAAATAAAGGTGATGTTTTTCTAGTGAATGAGAGGAATTTAATATTTGTAAGTGCTAGGTTCCTAATTCAAGGTGAAGAGAGGTATGAACAACCGAAGAAAAGAACTTGCTGGCTGTATAGGAAAATGCTGTAGAATCATATTGTGTATATACTTCAGAAAGAAATGAATTTAACAGTTTCCTCCGAGCACTATACAACATAGTGAAACTCCTGGTCCTGTACTGTATTTTATATGAAACATATATGCTTTAATATTTTTATTGAATGTGTGCATTAATATTTTCACCTTGCATTTAACCACTTTGCTGCTAAAATGTTTTCACCTTTCGCTTTCCTCTTTGAAGACTTGATCCATCTAAAAAGGGTTACTGAACTGACATATGTTCACTTTTCCTTCTTGCGCTGGAAGTGTCAGCCCGCATGCCCGGTTTGAGAGTGACTAGAAGAACTGCAAAGGCACGTGGCTACATAAGGGTTGGTTTTAGTCAGATGCACATGTCCTTTTTCTTCTGGGGTTAGGGATCTTACCGACTGCTGCAGTTAGGACAGGAGGAGTGGAAGGCGGACATATAGCAAACCCGTTCCAGAACGGGCTGTTACATCCATGCATCTTTTGGTTTTGATGGCATGTAACATTTATTCTGTCTCTTCTGAAATATTTTCTTAAGCATTTGGGAAAAAGAGAAATTTCTTCCCCCAATCCTTACTCCTCCCATCGCCATCAGAACTGTAGTTTGTCAGGCATGTAGTAGCAGAGCTTTGTGTTGCTTGGAGGGGAGATCCGAGCCTTGGGAAACCATCATTGACTATTAAGTCCCTTGCTTGTTGAAAGCCTCAGTTACCGTGAAAATTAAGTATTTCCCCTTGAAAGTGGGGGAAGAAGTTAAATGATAGCAGCACTCGTGCACCATCTACTGGGGGAAAAACATTCAGCTGCATTCAGGCACAATATTTAATTACACAGTAATTTAACTGGCTACTAGTGCACTACTTGAGCTACAGAAATATGTTAAGCTCTAGTTATGAATTTACAAAATAGTAATTTGGACTCCTGCTGTGATTCTTTATCTTGTCATGCTTCTTAAGTTTCATTATTAATATTGATTGAAAGTAAAAATGCTTTAACCGTATATTTTGTTAGGTTTACAATAGTTATGATGGCCTGTTATGCAGGAGCATAAAAATCAGGAATGGAGTGAAAATTCTTTGGGTTCTGTCACTGGGTTCATAAGAAAGTGGTTTGGGTTTTTGGTTTTGTTTCTCCTCCCCCTTGAAGTTCTTTCCCACAGCAAAGTGATGGAGTTTTGATGTTCACGCAGAGGGAATCTGGCCTTTTGGTTTGTGATACCAATCAAGTTTTGAGTACGCAGAGGTGGGTCTGTGCACTCACACGTGCGATTCAGTAGTTGTGAAGGGCATATCCACAGCTGTGTGCAAGATTAAAGCAATATTCTGATAATAATCTACAATTACTAGGGTAACTGTTTAGTAAACAGCAGCAAATGATGGCATAAAAGTCAGATGCCTTTCCAGAGCTTATGTAAGGGATGTTCCAAACAGTCTTAACCAATGCAGTTTCCTCTAGAGAAACAAAAGTATTTTGAACAATGTCTTAATTTTGCATGCTGGAATGTAACATTCCCATTTCAGATGTGTTCTCTTCAGAACGATCTGTTCATGTGTACCTGGAGTATAATGTTGAACTCCTGTGTAAATAATGCACAGGTTTAAATTAGACTTTAAATCTTTTCAGAGCTTATGGCCCAGTATGCAGCCAGTACAGTGATACATTCGTCATAATAAAATGAAGATCAAGGGTGGCTGGTGGCTGGCAACAAAACAGTAACTTTAAAAAGATGCCTTAAATAGTACTGTTGTCCAACAGCTGGGTGGATGAAACTTCCATTTCCTTCAGTGCACTGATAAATGCAAAGAGGGGTTGGGGGGGGTTGTTTGGTTTGGAGATTTTTTTTTTTTTTTTTCCCTGAAAGCTTCTCTTTCTTAATTGCAAAAGTTGTGGTTCGTTTAAGAAATCAAAGCATTCGGTGGAGAAGAAGCCTTCATGTTCAAAGCTGCAGTATAAGCTGTACATAGTTTTCCTTCTTTTGCTTGGTGCCATTTGCTTTCCACCCTAATGACCTCAAAAGTGCCTCATGTGTATATTGTTTCCATTAAACCTCAACTGCTCTTTCTTTCTACTAAATGATGTATAATTTAGTTAACTCATCCCATAGGTGTTTCCTTTATGAATATGAATATAGGTTGTTACTTTGAGTATATAATGTAAATATGCCTTCAAATTTGTAACTGGTTTGTTACATCATATCCTTGTAAGTTGACATAGCAGATAACACCATAAAATTGTTTAAATGTTTTTTCCTGTAATTACCTGATTAAAACTATCTTGAAATGAAACAACTGACATGTTTTTCCATTCTGTGTTGAGATTACTCAGAACAGTGCATATGCAATTAAATGTTGCGGCTCAAGAACAGAATAAAAAAAATGTAAATACAGGTAATCATTTTGCCATAGTGTTCTGCTTACTGGTTAAACAAAATGTTAATCAGATCATGTTGTGATTTTAAGACTGGTCAAAAAAGCATTGTATTATCTTCAAGCTCCAACATCTTTCATCATAAGAACCATTTTCAAGAGTTGCTATAAAGTTTTAAACAAAAATGTGCCTGTACCAGCTTGCTTTGTATCTACAGCAGTACTTGTCTTTGACATACTGCTATGAAGGTCAAGATTCCTTCGTATAAATCATGTTTATTTGAGTTCCCACTCAACCCCACCACAAAAATGTGTATCTCTGAATGTAATTCGAAGCTTTGTGCAAGTTAAAAAAATAAGATACACACCAGAAAAGGAAGGAAAACTAATCAGTCCATGAACAAAAATGAACATGTAGAAATCTGTGAGACTATAATTTGAAAGCTCAGTGGTCAGAGTTTAGGATGGATTATTCTAAATTGAATTGTAGTTGTCTCTAGTTTTTGCAAATGTTTTCTTACTGGTTACAACCGATAAAGTAATTCTCGCTGTTCATCTGATCAGTTTCTAACTTCAAGAATTTTATTATTGCTGGGTGTAATCATTACATGGACTATTAACTGTTGATACTTGAGTTTTTAACTGATGATTTGAAAATGCAGCTTTACCAGAGAAGGAAAGCAGGCAAATGAATGAAGTGACTAACAAGGTGAGGGATTAATAGAGAATATTATAGGACTGTGTGAAGACCACATATGGGAAAGTGACTCAGCATTAAACATGGTTTTATAAAAATTAAAAACCTAGTGTTAGATCTCTGACAAATCCACCTTAATGTCATGGGTCATGCACAATCTTCTGGTTTTGAACAAAAAGGATAGGTAAGGGGCTTGTTCTTTTTTTTTTTTTTTTTTTTTTTTTTTTTTTTTTTGACAGGTAAGTCAAACGCAGTTACTGGAGTTTATAAATTAAACCAAAAACTGAAGTTATTCCACAGACTATAGTTTGTAGACCACAGACCTAGTGGTCAGTTTCTAAAGGGAGTTCATAAAAATATCCCAATTAGTCCTTGCCATATAGCTATTAATACTCAGTATTTTGTATCACTGTTTCTTGAACCTTTTGGCTTACTGTCATCGATCACTATGTGCTCCTGTACCAGAAAATGGAAAGGCTTTCGTCTGTAGGGTTGTATCATCACTTCCATCATTTGGGAACACTGAGCTGTGTAATGTAATAGCTTGGAAACAGACATAACAAGTAAATGGAGGAGAATAAAAAATAATTCCACATTTCCTACCTTTAACTTGAGGTTGGAGAGTGTGTGCATGCACACACAACGGGAAGTGACTAAATTATGCTTTGAGTACTGCATAATGTGAATGACTAGCAACATTTCTTTTTACCTAGAAGGAAAAGAAGGAAAGAAGTCAGTTCTTCAAGAAGCTTGTAGCTCTACATATCCATGCCCTGGCTTGAGAAATTTGAGGATATTTGAGAAG